TCTCTCTCTCTCTCTCTCTCTCTCTCTCTCTCTCTGCCGGTCTTTTTTGTCTGTGAGTCTGAATAATTAAGAAATATTTTTGGAGTGAAAAACAAGTTAAGGCAACAAATTCTTTGTACGGGAAACCCGTTTTCGCCAAACAATTAATACTCATTTGAATCGAAATTATGTTTTCGAAAGAGAAAAATATATTTAATAAAAAATGGCAAAAAAAACTCTCAATAAATTCCAATCTTTGTTGTCTTTTAATGGTTTTTTATATATGACTCGTAGAGTGTGTGCTATAAGTGACCCAAAAAAGTTATAAACTCTGTTCTCAATGCAAATCTTATTGATTTAAACTATTTTATTCTTCGAAATATAAAACTCAGACATTTTTAGTTAAAATAATCGATTATACAATATATATTGAATACACTTATAATGCACTTCAATGCAAATACTGAACATTATTTTCGTGACATTTGCATAACTAAAGCACTAGCGAACTAAAGTTGCACTATTGCACTAAACAAGTACATTTTACTTCAATACAACACATAACATACCGTGCAATACATTACATAGATGTAAAGTACACTAATTATGAACTACACCTGAGTCTCACTGTACGTGTTGTACAGAAGGGGCTGTCGTATTGAGACACACACCACACGTACAGGTAATACAATTTGTCGGTTAAACTATTGTCACAAAAGGTTTGGTTATTACGAAAACCAAACGGGAAAACAGTTTTCATTGCAGACATCAAAAGTGTGCGAAAAATGTTTATAAAAAACATGTCATTTAAAGGGGAAACTAGTGTTGGATATGGTGTGCACTTATACTGCGTGTGTATTGCATGAGCCATACGTCAGAGCCGGGAGAGAGAGAGAGAGAGGTCTGTCAGTGAGTGAGCGAAACAACACATGAGTTGAGGCAACAAAAACCGTGCATTCATTGCATTGCAAACCATTTCACTGTTTATATCAATCGGTCTCTCAATTCAAACCCAATTTCGTTCATTTCATTGTGTTTTTAGACCCCAATTGTCATTACTATTAATAACTCATTGTATTTATTACTCAATCAATATCTCAGACCCTATTGTCTACACATTTAACGCCAAACCACTAATTGTCCACAAATTGTGATACAAAACACATAAAACACCATTAATTCTCATTTAATAGATTTGTGAGTTTTTTTCGTGACATTTGTTTTGATAATTAACTAATAATTAGTTGTTTTGATGAACCGATTGTGAGGACAGACTCGTGAAGATGGGCTCCAATTGCAGTAACAAAACGTCGGATCCGTTGGACGTAATGAAGGCCTTAAGACAACAGACGGACTACAATCAGGGCGGAGGCGATCACAACACGTTCTTCGTCTTCGGCGCTTCGGTCAGTCATTCCTACCATTGATTTGCAGTTTGCATGTCATATACTTTACCCCCTCCCCCACCCCTACCCCACCCCTCCCAATATGCATAGGTTTTGATAGCAATTAATGATTGATTTAATGATTCCTTAATTTATTCTGTGATGAGTTGTAAGGAATGAATGCTCTGTTTTGAGATGTAATGAGTTTTAGGGCACAGAATATATGATTATATGATTGGCGTTTGAATTACATATAAATGTGTGCTTTAATTGAAAACTTGTTAAACGAATCGTACGATCGTATGGTGTGATTGACATTTGATATACACTTTTCATTGCATATAAAGTTGTGTTGAATTTATTTTTTAAAGACGTGTTTTGTTTGACATTCAGACGTTGTCTGCATTTACCACAGAATTGCAGAATTTATTTGATTTAATTGGAAATATTCGTTAATTTATACAATTAATATAGTTTTGCGTTTAATTATTAAACATTATTCATTGAATAATATCTAGTTCTAAATGTAAGTTAGGATTGAATTAATTAATCATTTATATTTATGACTATTTATGAAATTTTTCATTTTAAATTAATTATGATAATAATAAATTTACGGAATTTTAGTTGAATTCAATTTATTATTTTAAAACTAAAACTACACAACAATTTGTCTATCGATTGTAGAAACAGTTAATTTTTATGTGCTTTTTAAAAAATATGGATTTATAGCAGAAATATTTCCCTTTTAATGGATATTTTAATACATTTCTCATAAAAAGTTTTGTAAAGTTTTTTCTCATTGAAAAGTCGTTTCCTCTTTCGTTAGAAATGTGATAAAAATTATGTTTTAATCTAAAATACAATACTTTTCCTCTTATTTTTATCAATTAGTATTTTTTTCAGTCGTTTGCTTTAATCGAGTGTTTGATAAGAAAAAATATCTATTTTTCATTTGACACTTCATTTTAATTTTCCACAATTTTCCTTAAAGTTTTCACAATCTTTTCTTAAATTATTTTTACTCTTTTCTCACAAGAATTTAAATATTTTACTCGATTTTGCAATTTATAGGGAGATTTGGCCAAAAAGAAAATCTATCCGACCTTATGGTGAGAATCAGATAATTATTTGACAGAAAAACATTTGCAAATTGAATATTAATTTCTATTTCTGAAACTCATTATTGATTTTTGCAAACGTTTTCTAATGAATATTTATGCACTTATTTTATTTGTTTTTGCAATTTTGTAATTAAGTATTGTTTTGTTTTAACGACATTATAATTATCTATTGAAGGGCTTTATTCAGAGACCGACTGATCCCCAAACAGACAGTGATCATCGGTTACGCGCGAACCAAACTGACTGTCGATGAGTTGAAGACCAATATTTCGAAATACATTAAACTGAAAGACGACTCCGAGAAGGAAAAGTTCGAGAAATTCATCGCTAAAAACAGTTATGTGAGCGGAGCTTATGACGAGTCCGCCGCCTTCAACCACCTCAACGAAAGCGCTCAACAACTGGAACAGGGCTTCTCCAAAGTGAACCGTCTCTTCTATCTGGCACTTCCACCCAATGTCTTCGCGCCCGTCACTAAACACATCAAAGCCGAGTGCATGTCTCCCACGTAAGTCCTCTTTACCGTTGTTTTCTCCAATTGTGGTTTTAATCGCTTTTTGTGTTTAGCGGTTGGAATCGTGTTATTATTGAGAAACCTTTTGGTCATGATTTCGATTCTTCGGCTCAACTGTCGCGACACTTGGCCTCACTCTTCAAAGAGGAGGAGATCTATCGCATTGACCACTATTTGGGTAAAGAGATGGTCCAGAATCTGATGATTCTTCGTTTCGGGAATCGGATATTCAATCCGATTTGGAATCGCGATAACATCGCTTCCATTCAAATCACGTTCAAAGAGCCGTTTGGCACTCAGGGAAGGGGCGGCTATTTTGACACGTTTGGCATAATTCGCGATATTATGCAAAACCATTTGTTGCAAATCCTGTGTTTGGTTGCGATGGAGAAACCCGTCTCTTCGCGAGCCGAAGACATCAGAGATGAAAAAGTAATTACTTTTTGTTTTTGGAGTCCATTTCTCAATCGTTTCTCTATTTTTAGGTCAAAGTATTAAAATGTATGCAAACTCTAACACTCGATGACATCGTTTTGGGACAATATGTGGGCAATAAGAAGGGCGAAGGAGACGCCAAATACGGCTATTTGGATGACCCGACAGTTCCGGCCGGTTCCACAACTCCGACCTTTGCGTTGGGTTTGTGTCGCATAAATAACGAGCGCTGGGATGGCGTTCCCTTCTTCATGCGTTGCGGTAAGTGTTAAGCACCGACTGATGCGGACATCGCGTGACGACCATTGCATTGCAGGCAAAGCCACGAACGAGAGGAAAGCGGAGATTCGCATTCAATTCCGTGATGTGGCCGGAGATATATTCAACGGTCAGTGCAAACGAAACGAACTCGTCATTCGTGTCCAACCGGGAGAAGCCGTTTACGTGAAGTTCATGACGAAAGCGCCCGGAATGTCGTTCAAACTGGAAGAGACCGAACTCGACCTCACGTACACCAATCGTTATAAGGTATATAACTGTTGTGTCATTTGCTCATCAAAATCATTATTCATCTCTCTTTCATTCAATTCATAATCGTTTCTCTCTTCTCGTCAAACATTCTCTGAAATAAATAAATATTCTTTGAAATCAAAGGATATGTTTAGCACTGAATCCAATGCACATCAAAATCAAGTAAATATTGTCCCAATTGTTTTGTGCTCTCATTAGACGACGCTTTGTTTCATTTTGTTTTCGTTTTGTTTGATTTGGTTTAAAAACAAGAATTTTGATTTGTTTCACATTTAAAACAATTAACTCTTTTGTTGATTATTATTGCTATTAATATTAGTATTGATTTTTGATAAATTCATTTTGTGTTGAATTTTGAATTAATTTTGCATATATTCGCCACAAATAGGAGGCAATACTTCCGGACGCATACGAGCGGCTAATAATGGACGTGTTTGCGGGCTCTCCGGCCAACTTTGTCCGTTCAGACGAGTTGTCTGAAGCGTGGCGTATATTCACACCACTCTTACACAGTATTGAGAGCCAAAAGGTGCCGCCACTGCCCTATACGTACGGCTCGCGGGGACCCAAACAGGCCGATGACTTCTGTATCGCCCACGGATTTAAGTTCTACGGCACGTATAAGTGGCACAATCCTAATGGAAACGCCGTTCCCAATGGGAAATGATTTTCATATCAAACTAATTGTATTTTTGTCGAGAAATCACTTTTTTTAATGAAACGAATTTATGTAATGTTTTGTTTGTGTTATTTAATAATGAATTGAAGATTAAAAGCAAATCTCATCTGATTTTATGGTTTTTAACGTATTTTTCATAATAAGAGTTATTTTCTATAAGGAATTGAGTTTTAATTATGTTTTAATGTTTTTAAAGACCTTTCATTTAATATATCATTTATTAGATAAAAAATATTTTGTTTTTAATTTTAGCAATTGATTGCAATTTTTCAAATATATTAATTTTTAAGTGCAATGTTTTGTCAAATTTAATTGTTTTAAACTCTAATTTTTTGCTAAATTTGTTGTTTTAATATATGTTTAACATTACTTTTTTGTATTTTTTGTATTATTTGCCCGAAAAGATCATTTGAATAATAAAAATACAAAAAAATACCTTAATGTTTTATTTCTATCGTTTAATGTTATTCTTTTAATAACAAAATTAATCGCTTGAAAAACTCATTTAAAATATTAAACAGAATATCTAATACTGAATATTTCTTATTTTATCGTTTTAACTAAAAATTCTTGAATCTTCAAATTCTCAAATATTTTCTCTTATTTTCAGCATTTGATAGAAAATAATTTAATAATATTTAATAAAGAATTATATGTTATTTGAAATGCATTCAAAAATGCAGTTTTCTTTGTGTAAACAAATATTATACAAGTTGTTGAATAAAATCCATACAACAAACGAAATATAGATTTTTAAAAACTAATTCTGTGTTTGCAGTGAACAAGTGTTGCGGAAATTTATGTTTTAAACCAATTTGTGAAGACAAATGTAAACCAGTTTCGCGACGCCTAAAGCTTTTTTATCAGTGTTTATGAAACGGTAGGAAATTCTGTATAAATTATATGCAATAACTTAATGACATTTTATGCACACTATTGTAACGGAATTTAATCCCAAAAAAAGCATATTTCTATCGTTATTACACGCATTAAGTCATTGAATGAAATGACTATAAATTTCAAACCACATCCTCTATAATATTGCAATTTTAGACACCTTTTGTATAAAAATAAATAACACTTTCATTAATTATATTCTCAACACTTTTAATTAGTGTTATCTTTTGTAATTGAAAGCGCATTAAAATCTCATTACTTTAAAAAGCCTTCAAAACAAAAAGCGATTAATTTATTACTCAAATAAAGTACAGAATCACTAATTAAAATAAACTCTTGTTTTGATTATTATTATTATTGTCTAACAAACACCTAATTATAAATAATTACAGCAAGAAATACATATAATTAAAGCAATATTTAAATTAAACATTAACTCACAAATTAATACTTACAAAATGATTAATGTTTTGTGAAGTCTTTAAATAATTAATTTATATTCAAAAATCAGTCAAACATTTGAATTGTATAAATATTTGTAGTATTTATAAAATCATCAAACATTAAATGATAAATTGTTTGAACGTTGTTTTAATTAATAATATAAAATTGAATGCCTTTTCTGTCCATCAAATTCAATGAAAGCACACAAAAGACAGTTATTAACAATTCATTCGGTTTTTGTAAATCAATCAATTTTTGGTGTCATATATGAGGTATTTTTGGGACAATACACCCATTAATCAAATCATATTCCCATCAATTGGTTTTCCCTCTTTATTAAACGTTTAGAACTCAACCCATTATTCCGCTATTATTTCTTCTTATGATTTTATTATTAAAAATGAAATCAATACACAATATAAACGCTATTTACAAACGGTACAAAATATAATGTTATATATTTAGCAAAAACCAGAGCCAATATCTCCACGTCTTATGGATTTTGTCTTCACAATCAAACAGATTATAATCAACGCCTGTATTGACACACGATTTATAGGAAACGGCTGTTATTTGATGTGAGAATCCGTTGTTTAATGAGAGCAACACAATTGTTATCCAAAAGTACACTAAAAACTATTCAATACATTTTGATTACACAAATATTATTATAAATTGTAAATAACTTACGCGATAATTCATTTATAGTTTTAATTAAAATAACAATATGGTTTTAATTCACTTTAATAATCGATATTAAGACAAATACGACCATTTCAAACATGTATTTTAGCCTTGATGCCACGTCTAGTCTCGATTGCCTTGATCAAGTAGGTTTTTTAATGTTTTATAATACGATAACAATTGTGGTATTTTGTAATTTTACATATAATTAGTATTTTATTACTAATTATAATGTATTATTGCTTATAAGTTACAACTTACATGAAATTGCATTTACAATTTTATGAAACTTCATTTATTGCTTTATTGTTGTAAAATAGGGTTTTAATTGACTTTAATAATTAGTAATTACAGCCAATATGGCAAAAACGTCGATTAAATGAATACATTATTTGCTAATTAACTGATTAGTAGTCGTTTATAAATAAATAGTCTGCAATTCATTTTGCATGTGTTCACCGATTATTAAGATTGATCACCGAATTGTGAACTCTATGGACTCGGTTTGTCGGCGAATCAATTGTGCGTTATTTCAATGTTTTATAATAAGATAACAATTTGTAACTTTCAAAACAATTAATATTTTAATGATAATTATAGTTATAATATTTATTAAAATTATAACTTACGTAAAATTACGCAAAACTGCTGAAACATATATTAAGACTTGAATTACTTAATTGTATATTAAATTTGTATTACACTAAAACACATCTATAAAACACATTACACTAATAAATCACTTAAATAACAAAAGTTTCAATGTTAATATCGTTTAAACAACTTTATTTATAAATTAAAGAATATTTGAAAAAATTCCATTTGTTTTTTAGTGTTTAAATAACAAGTAATAATTATAGATTTTTATGCAATTAAAACACAATCACTATTATTTACAAAATAGTATTTTCATTGTGTTCTAACAAAATTAAAGTCATTTTTATTGTTTATTAAAACAAGAGTTTGTTTGACAAACATTTTGCAAAACACCTGTATTTCAAAAATATTTATTCGTTACAAATGTATAAATTTTAAAACAGGGAAAATATGTTCCCATTATTGGCGACAGAAATTTTTATTTATTGTTGTTTTAATTTTTATAAATTGTTGTTAGAAAAGAGATGTCAAAAGGGTTTTGAACTAAATTTATTCACAAATATCTGGAATTCAAATAATGAAAACATAAAATTTCAACAATTAATTAATAATCTGTGTATTGAATAGAATTGATTGCCGGCTGAGACTCCCATTGTTCACCAAAAGGCATCAGTTGCTCATAAGCTGGTGATGGTTGGTGTGGTTGGTGTGGTTCGTATGGTTGATAGTCTTCATATGGTTTAGTGTCAAACAATTGGTTGCCATTCGGTCGGCCAATAACCAGATGAAAGCCAGTAGTGATGCCTCCGTTCGGGTGTTCAATACGGTATTCTTGACTCAATACCGACGCAAACGCACACAATATGTGAAATAAACACTGAATGAGAGAATATTTTTAAGTTTTAATAATGTTTGCATAAAATGTTTCATAACTTACGATAAATTTCATGTTTGTATTCACGAAGAAATTGCTTTTGCAGTCCAATAAATAACAATATGTAAAACAACATCTTTTATACCATTTATTGCTAGCCTTGATGTCAGGAATTGGTTTTGTTTGTTATTAAATAAGATTTAAATCATTTTTGGTAATTAATTTCAAATGTAATATTTTATTGCTAATGAATGAAAGTCTAATCTAATGCAATAATAAGAAGATATGATTACAATTTACATATTATATCATAAAATATCAGTATATTTAGTGTTTTAAATAATAATGTAATAAAAATCTCATTCAAACTCTCGATGAATACTAATCCTGTGTTCATTTGTTAATTACAAATTAATATCAAATTCATAGAAACGTTTTGATACTAGAAATAACATTATTAGACAATATAATTATGATTAGAAAATTTTCTAATCAAAAGAAAATCAGAATTATTCACAATTTTATAAAGAGAACACAAAATTATTATAATTTTAGTGAATATTATTCCAAACATTTTTAATCAAATTTAAATTACTATCAATTTAATGGCAAACAAGGATTGCTGGCAAAGATATGGCTTAACTACATTTCGTTGATAAAAAAGAAGGCAAAGTTTTGAAAATATCTCTTTAAAGAATTGCCAAACAATTGTCACTATATTCCTAAGTTTAATACTCAACTATACGTGAATCCAATTCTCCATTTCTTTGTCTACCTTTTCCGATAAAACCTAACCCTTTATATCATTCAATAACGACTTATTTTCAACACAACTCTTCGAGAAGTGTCTCGATATATAATATATAGTAAATTTGTGCTCATTTTTGAGATCAAATTTGAAGTAAAAGTTAATCTTTTTTCCGGCGATGAAAAGAAAGAAGTCATTATTTTGACGACACATCCCATGACATCATTGAGCCGTTCAGATATGTGTTAAAGATATCATCAAATAAATGATTGATTATTGCTATGATTTTCGTCTCGATTTTATTTATTAATTCCGATTTTCTTCTTTCATTTAATTTGAAATTCAATTTTCAATTTATTATCAAATACTTTATGAAATGAACACTAAATGCATTTCATAGGACACAAACTCATAAGACAAACATAAACGCTGTACAACATTACGACACTAGGCTTTACGTATGAGTTTATGTCGTTTTGAAAATTGTAAATATTTGGCAAATGTTTAATAAAATCTATTAAATTAATTAACAAACATAAAATTACAGCACTATTAAAGCAAATGTTATTGGCTTGTGAGTATAATGTAGATTTTAAGATGTAGTATAACTTGTATTATAAACGTTTATAGCTATAAATAGTTATGAGATGAACACAAATGGCTAATACAGTCAACTATCGATGCTGTCAACAGATTGGTTCCTGGGATTTGGTTGATAACATAGATTAGTTGACAACATAGAGA